TTTGACTTTATTGGCATGAAACAAAAATAAGGTTGAAATATGAGTTCATTTTTAAAGGCAGACAGGGATAAAAAGCAGGACTACAGGCAAAAATATAAAATGTATAAACATATGGAGATAAACCGTAGTTTTAAGCTGGGGGAATAAAAATAGGTCTGTTAAATATAAATAATTGTGCTTATTTTCCTTTGGTACTGAGTAGAGTTCACTTCAGTTATTCTCAGGGTTGTCAGTCATGATGAAACACTCCTTCTGTAAGGACATTTGAAAATAATGACGCATTCAGGTTGACATGAGTTGAGGATTCCCTTTGAGACAGCTCTGGCATGATTTGTGGGTGTGGGATGTTCTGCAGTAATATGAGTCATCTGTTTTGCCCAACATCCAAAATTCCAAGAATGAAAAGAAAAAAATGTGATGTATGTGTGCATGTCAATATCATCCTCACTAGGTAATATCTCTTTAGAGTCCAATGCATTTTCCCCTAAATCACTTGGTTATGATCTTAAGCAGAGGTAACTCATTCTTCCTTCTTTGAAGACAGAACATAAGCATAGATAACATCCATGTTTCCACTTTTCTCCAGGCAATGTGCTGCTGTAAATACTCAAAAAGATTCTGTTATTAAGACAGTCTTCTAGAAGAAGTGGTAATGAAATTCATGGCAGTTCATCTCAGCAAGCTAAAAATAGCAAATTAAAAAATTCACATCTCATTCCTTTTCACTTTGTTCCTTGTTCTTCCTCTGATTTCCATTTGTACCTGATAATTCTGATGAGCTGAGGTTTCCCATGAAGTCACGAATATTTCAGTAGGCAAAGAGATAGTCTAGAAATAGAGATCCCAAAAGAGTAATGGAATACATTTCCCCATATTGAAGTGTTTTTTAATCTAGCTGGTGCCGAAGTAAGCAAGAATACATATGTAATGGAATTTACATTTTATTCAAAAAACATTTGCTGCTTTTTAAATGCTATTTACTGGCATGCATAGAATGTTCATCCTTTCATTAAAAAATATAACCTATAGAGAAAGCCACTGTAAAATAACAGTACTGAATACATTATGTACAAATACTGTTAAGTGCTACAAAGGAGAATGGTACAAAGGAGAAAGGAGGCTTGATTTGGGAAGAATTTAAATAACAGTAGAGATGGTTACCCTCTTGGCATGAAAAATATATAAAGCCAATTGGGCATTATGACACATGTTTATAATCCTGATATTTGAGAGAATAGCAAGTTCAAGACCAGTATGGGCTACATAACAATATCCTACCTCAAACACACAGATAAAGTTAATAAACACAAGGTAAATAAATTAAGACAGATGGACCAAAGAATATTGGTAAGAGCTACAGAATAACTAAAAATCCTGGTCAGGGAAAGCATGCAAGAATACATAACAACTGTCACTGGAAAACCTCCAGAGAGCTTGGTTTTAAAGCAAAGTGATTACTGGTGAGAAAGAGTGAACTTCTATAAAGGACTGAACTACAGGGCTAACTTTTGTTTTGTTTTATTTTAAAACATGGTTTCTCTGTGTAACAGCCCTGGCTATTCTGGAACTCTCTCTATAAACCAGACTGACCTCAAACTCCCAGAGATCGCCCTGTCTCTGCCTCCTGAGTTCTGGGATTAAAGGTGTGCACCGCAACTTCCCAGCTCTAATTGTAAGGACTTAACTTTAGGCCAATGACTAGAGAAATTTTCCTAGTAAAGTTCAAGTAGGAGTTAAGGAAAACAACTAAAGGGATGTGGCAACATCTCACTTTTATTTCTAATTTTGTGGGTTTGGCTTATGCTAGGAATTGCAGACCCCTGCGTCTCTTTTCATCTTCATCTACCCCTCTCTTATCTTTCTTCTGGTATTCTTTCTCTCCATTTATATTTGCTCTTTCTGTATCTCCTCCTTTCGATTGTCTCATCACCTTTTATTCCCTCTCCCTGATATTTACTTTCATCTGTTATGCTCATCTGGTCTTTTTTGGTCATCTCTGTTTATGTCTGTACCTCTCTCTCTCTCTCTCTCTCTCTCTCTCTCTCTCTCTCTCATTTTCTTGTATTACTTTTTTTTAACTTTTCTAGCTACTTCATAACCCTACTTCTTTATCATCTCTTTCCAACCATTTTTCCCTTGATGGCTCTCAATTTGTCACTATCTACTTTCATTTAAGGATTTACATAAAAGCAAACATTTTGTATATTTTCCTATTTGTTTTCTGTCCCGACTATGCATTTTTCATGTTATCTTTTATATCACTTCTTTCTTCTCTCCCATTCTTTATTCTTTATTTTATAAGTCTCTCAATGAATCAGTTTTCATGTCTTCCTTGTTCTTTCTAATGCTTTCCTTCTTCATCTTTGACTTCCCACCTGTATTTACATGCAACACACACAAACACCAGCATCACGAGTACCACCACCAACACACCACCACCACCATCAGCAATACCAACAATTCTCCTCTACCCTCCTTTCTAACTAAGCTTTTACTATTATTTACATTCCCATCTATCCTTCTGTGTACTTTCACACATGTACACAGGATTCTGGATGTAAGGAGAGGAGCAATACATAGAAAAAGATGAAGTTTAGGCTTGCAGTTCATAACTCTGGTTTTCCAAGTGAATTTTCTGGTCTTGAGAAACTAACAAATAGCCTGGATTGAGGCCTACAAGTTCAGTGGTGAACTCCGTAAAAGTAGGGATTAACTATCTATGTCTTTTAATCTATGAAAAGGAGGGTTTTCACGAACCTGATGGAATAAGATACCTGGGTGAGAACACAAAAGGAGATACATAGAAAGACAGGACTTGGATATAGAGGAAAGTAATAGAAATCCACGTGTCCTCATTCAGTCAACAGCTCACTAAGCTTCCATTGGGAACTCATGCCTCCCTCCTTATAATCCCCTACAGAGGTTTATTTCTCTATATAGACCTTACCAAACTCAGACTAACATTTGAATTATTTATGTATAAATCAGCTCCTCTAGACTAAATACACCCAAGCAGGAGTAAGACATTTCCTCTACTGCTTTTCTAGGACATTTTCTAGCTCAAAGTTCAATTTATGATGGAATTTGCATAGCTCAGTTAAGTCTTTTTACATTATCTTGCTTATAATAATACATATCAAAAACCTCACAGAATACTGGCCCAGATAAGTTCACCGCACCCTTATACTCTGAAAACACAAATCCAGAGTAGCTATACACAAATACTTCCACAGAAGATCCATTTTTCAAAGACAAGGTCTCTGGAAGTGTGAAAATTGCTGTAACAGGTAACCTATGTGAAAGGTCATCCACGCAGTCTTGTTAAGAAGTGAAGGACCCTGTTATGAGAGCACTGAACAGAAGGCACATTGATTTGATTTCCTAGGACAACCTGCAGGGACTGGAAACCTGAGAGCTATTTATCAAGCACTGATAAGTATCATTTCCTGTCCAGTTGAATTTAGTTCTTCACTCCTTCTACCTCTACTAATAGACATGCCTATTTCATAGCAAATATTAAAATCCACAACCAAATCAAATATTCTAACTAAAAGTCTGACCCTTCCTCTCTAGGCAAGTAATAATGTATTACAAAATATATGAGATTTGCAAATTTTTTGATCTCCTGTAGATATCACTTTATTAGGAAAGTTTTTCCTTCTGATATAAAATTTGAAATTGATCCCTTTGGCTGCCCTAGTATATAGCATTATTAAATGAGAAGTACAGAATTTCCAAAATGAAAACTCATTTATTTTCCCTTCTCATATCTCTCTGTCTTTCTTGTGTCTTCGTTTTTGGCATATTTTAATTAATTATGGATAATTCTGTGTTTCATTATGACATTCCATGCATACACATAATGTACTTTGATCATACTACTTTCATCCTTTGTGTTGAATGTGTATGTGGGGGTGGTGGCATACAAATGTGGAGACATAGATTATCTTTCTCCATTCCTCTCCGTCTTAATTTCTTAAGATACTGTATCTTAATGAACCTGAAGCTAGTTTCTGCTGGATTGGCTGCCGGTGAGCCCCTGGAATCTACCTGTTTCTGCCTCTCCCAACCAATGCTGTGGTTGAAGACACCACACCCAGTATTCTGTGAGTGCTAACTCACTTGGTCTTCTTGATTGGACAGCAAGCACTTTACCCACTGAGCCACGTCCCAGTCCCTTCTTTTTATACCAACACAATCAGTGGTCCCTTGCTATCACACACTGTAGTGACCCGTCCCCCATTTTAGCAGCCATTACAGGCTAACATGTGCTTGCATGGCCTGGCGGCTCCTGTCCTGGTCACTAAGGTCAGATGCCCTCCTTGTGGCAAGGAACCAATCAGAAGTTAGCTGGCGGGACTGTGCTTTATGGCTCTGGGTGTGCTTTACGGACAAGTGCACAACAGTGACGTGCAGAACATAGCAACCGCCCTGGGAGGGCCTATGGGACATAACAACCAGTTGACCAATCAACACAGGATGGGTCACCCAAACCTGGAAGCACACCAATCCTGAGACTGTTTCACACCCCTAGACACTTCCCTTACACTGCCCTTTAAGATACCTGCCTCGAGGTTGCTTGGGGGGGTCTTTCTCCAGCCATTCGCCATGGTGGCGGGATGGAGGGCCCAAGCTAATGGGGTTAGCTCATTAAACAACTTTAATAAAAGTCTCTTTGCTTTTGCATGGAAATGGGCCTCGTGGTGACTTTGGGGTTCAGAATTTGGGCACAACAGCACCACCTGTTGTACACAGTGCAGCGGAAGAAAGCTTACATCCCATAAGTGATCTACAATGTCTGGCAGGCACAAGGCACTTGGTACGTGTCACTGTTGCTCGTCTTTCCTTTCTGAGCTCCACTCTACAACCAATTGAAGCATTCACCAAATACTTCAAACTTGCCAGTCTTTCAGCTGGAGTTCTACTATGCTACTTGAAGACTTAGATGTTTCGAACGTAATTTTATGCTGCGAGTCATTCAAATAAGGATACTGTTCATATACTTTAAAAATACATATCACTTTATTATTTTTCATGTGATATAAAATATCTACAGTAAAACAAAATTTCATATCTCCGACGGCAACAAGATGTCTGATACACACCTGAAATGATCGATTCAGGAAAAACACACCAGCCTGCCACCTGCAAATACTTGACAACCTTACCTCCATATTTCTTTCATTACACAGTCAGAACGAAACTATTTCCAGCATCCCTCTTGTCATTATCCTTTTGCAAAAAAAATCTACTCTACTCCTCATCGCATGTTAAATTCAACAACCACATTCAAGCCAGCTACAGTGATGCAAACCCAGGGTGAAGGACAACTATGAATTTCTCCATGTGTTCGCTCTCCTCCCCACCACTAAGGGCTGCTGCCTTTCTCATTCAGACCCCGTGTGGCCAGTTTGAGAAACGCGTCCACCGGGGGTTCACACCCCTTACAGTTTAACCTGGCATCTCCCCTAGAAATCGATGCCTTCCAGGCAACCTTCAAGTGCTGCTGCTCCTCTCAGGACAATCTGCCCTTGCTCTCCCTTGTTCTCTAATTCACAGAAGGTGTTGGCTCAAGTGCAAAGCCAGGTAAAAGAAAGACGGAGCCTGAGCTAGCCTCTCCCCACTCCAGGGAACTACTTTGGGGTAAAGCTTCCAAACTTCCTATTCACATTCAGTGTGCTATCAGCTCTGCTGCCTACATGGTGATGGGGCGGGGAGCAGCAACAAAAATACAGTGTCTATCTGCAACTGTTAGCATTTAGTCACACATGTTTTTGTCTGGGTTTAGCTGACTTGCTTTGTGACCAACATATATATATATATATGTATGTATGTATGTATATATACATATATATATGTATATATATTTAAATACTACTGCAATGATGGTGAAATCTTAACTTTTAAAATAACAAACTAAAGCAGTGTCGTTTATAGCAAATAGATTGAAATTTAATATTTTCGTATGTTTCATTATTTAATTTCTAGACTGCAATAGAAGACTTTTTAAAAATGTGGTTTATATAACAAAAATCTGAAGGACAAAGTACCACATCATTTCAAACATTGCACATCACAAGTGATGCCTGCCAGCTGGTGACAGGACATGAGCATAATTACAAGGAAAGGGGCATGATAAGCACAGAAAACAGACTTTAGACATTCTTCTGGATTTTCCTAACTGAAGGACATGAGTGAGCTCTGATGTCATTATGTTTGGAAACGGCTTCATCCAGATCCAACTGCACACCGTTGATGTTCACTTCCATGCAGCCACTGTAAAAGGCATTCACAGGTGTGGCACTGAAGGAAAGATCTGTCAAAGCAATGTCTGACGATTAGTCTAGTACTTCAGCATCTTACTTGTTTACAGTTAGAAGAATTACCCAGACTTCACAATTCCCAAGAAATTCTAATCCTACAGAAAAAAATTATTAATGTGATTCCATTTGGCAAATACTTGTTATGCTGGGCATGGAGTTCAGCATATCATGAATTCTGATTTCATAAACACAATTATTTCTACCCAAACTGAAGGACAGTGTGTACACAAAAAACAGAAGTTTATGATATTCCACATTTACAACAAACTAATACACACGTTTCTCTTGAAATTTGAGCGACATTTTCAGTGCCATTAGATCATCTCTTACTCTAAAATGTGGTGTCTTAGAAATCCTTTTTAAATGTCATGACAAACATGACTTTTTATAACTTTTGGAACAAAAACAGATTTTTATATTTCCCAAGAAATAGTTTCTGGCTGATCATAAAAGCAAGTCATAATAAAAGACTGACTTTTATGTGATAATACTGTCCTACAAAATAGCATTTTGAATTGTTCCTCAGTGAGTCATTTAAGGTCATTAGTACCGCTGGGCTTTGCTGCGCTTTCATTTCATTACCAAGTGTGTCCTCAATGCTCATGGAGCATCCTTGGTTTCCTAAGAACTGGAGTCCAAGACACTCACCTCCTTCCTCTCATTTGGCATTTCTCCATCATGGATTTGAATTCACAGTGTGCATTCATTAGCTCTTGATCTTTCTTCTCAAAACACATTATGACAAAAATAGACACTTCAATATTTCTGCCTTCAGGTTTGCAACACAATGATAAAAACCCTACTTATGAACTAACTGCATCTTTTAAGAATCCTCTTCGAGTCTGGCTGACATCACTGATTATGCATTATTTTAACCACAGTGCCATCACTGAAGATGACACCAATTTACCCCAGGATATATATATAACTATATACTAATTATGAACAGAAATTAGTTCTTTAAAAAATCTTCAATTTCCTCAATTTTCATTCATGAAATGAATTTAAACATGATTAATTTATATGTAAACAATCTATTCATTTCATAGTTTATTTTTAATTTCATAGTTAATTTTAGTCTCCTCTCATTCTTTTCTCACTTTTTCTTTAAAATCAATGACATTTAATGTTATTGTAAATTTTGTATTTTTATGTATTTTCAATGAATTCTTTATTTGCTTGATTTATTAAAATTGCATTAAACTAATTTGTGAGTAAGTCTTAATACAGAGTTCATTGGTTCATTCAATTTAACTGCAGTTATGCTGCCTAATAACTAAGCAAGCTGATGACTTGAACTCAATGTCCCTTTTCTGCCTATAACTTTTGGAACCCATTTCCTTCCATTCCCCAAAATATCAGAGAGGAACTTTTTGGTGTTTGTGTACACACAAAGATGTATCTCTGGCTAAGGCACCTTCTCATTGGCTTAATAAAGAGCTGATGGCCAATAGCTAGGCAGGAAGACGTTAGATGGAGTTGCCAGGTAGAGAAGGGAAGAAGGGAAGAAAACTAGGCATGGAGGTGATGTTGAAGAGGTTGGACATATGGTACAGAATAGAGGTAGCCAACCTATGTGGCAGAATGTAGATTAATAAAAGCAGGTTAATTTAAGTTATAGGTGGAAGGGGAAACTGTAATTAGAATATAAAATAAGTAAAGTTTTAAAAGAAAACTCAAAGCACACAAATATAAATAAACTGAAACCTTATTCTGGATAAAGAAAATTTTGCGTATTTTAAAATATATCTTCTCCAAAGTTAAAATAAACATTGTTTGGCTTTAAAAGATTTTTAGAAAATGATGATGCCAATACCATAGATACAATATTAAGTTAAACAAAGACCCGAGTTTCCTCCAATTTTCCCCATTCTGAAAATGCAATCCTAATGTTAAATTATTAATATCAGATGCCTAAGAGTTATCCCTTTACCTCCCTGTCTTGTAATCATGAAATTCTGATTTTATTTATATATCTTAACTGGATTCACTGCATGCAATTATGCAATCATGGATGCTACCACTTTAGTCCAGCAGCTTCCTTATTGCCAAGTGAAGATAATAGTTTCCACATCACTCTTCTGAACATTAAAATGATTGATACATTTGAGGACCTAATATGGTGTCCAGACTATTATCAGCTGGTGGATGTAGTGTAATTATTGCACTATTATTACTGTGTCCTCAGGCTATTCCATAGCCTCTGAACTCAAGTGAACTATATTCACATTTGCTCCCCCAGATCCTCTATTTGTTCATCCAGAACTATATTTTGAAATTGGAATATTTATACGCCTCTCCCTTTGTCTTAAATTGTGAAATGGCACCCAGGTCTTCTACAACAAAACCCTAAGCTAAGTCTATAAGTCACCCACTTAGTCATTTTATAGACTCATCCTGCACCACCTCTTGGGTAAAGATGCCTTAGCCATACTTCCATATTCTCCTGTGCTCATACACTGACCATTCTACCTACATACACGGCAGTACCCACTCCTGGAACCTAGTAAAATTCACTTAACCCTTTAAACATCAAATTTATATTTTAGTCTGTTATTCAAAGAGATGCTTCCTGCCTCCCACAACCAAGTCAGGTCCTTATTTTCATGTTCTAAATTTGATTTGTAATTTTTCTTCATAGAATTTATGACAATTTTAATTATTTTTATATCTCCTTAATGAGTTGTTTAATGCCTCCTCAAATAAATTATAAAGGCCCCTATTACAGAAGCCATTGCTTTCCTCTTATCTGGGTATATGGGGTTCTATATTATTATTATTATTATTATTATTGTTATTATCCTCTCATATAACACATCCCAATAGCACTTCCCCCTCCACTCCTTCCAGCTGCCCCACTCCCCTGCACAGATGTTCTTAATTGATGGATACGTGGGGAATAAGTTGAATAAGTATTGAGGCTACAATATTATCATGAGAATGAAATGAAATGACACATTCTTTCTGGTATAGATCACCAAACTCAGCAAAAATCAATTAGTCTTGCTTTACCATTAAAAATACAGACACCAATAAAATGTTAGTGTAGGACTCCAAACCAAGTATAAAGGATATTGGAAATCTTGTCTTCTTTCAATGCTTTGTTACTAAAAGTCTATGTTTAAGATATTATCAATGATAGTGTATGCCTTAATCTCAGCCTTCAGGATGCAAGGGTAAGTGGATCTTTTAGTTCAAGGCCAGCCTGATCTACATTGTGAATTTCAGAAAAGCCAGACCTATATAAAGAGATCCTATCTCAATACAAAGAAACAAAAAAAATCCCCAAAAGACATTTGATTTAAAACATGCTTTTAGAACCAAAGAAAAAGTGAGGAAATACCTGGAATGCCACCCAGGTAAGTGGCCACAGTTCCTTTCATCGCTTTGTCCAAGATTGCTAGTTGCTCTTGAAGATCTTTAGAGTAGACGACGTCTTTCTTAAGTGGGCTCCACAGTTCCAGGCCATGTTTGTTAACGTTACATTTCAGTTGGGATTGCTGGTCAGAACACAGAGTTATGGCCTCTATTCTAGCCACCACGGAATTTTCAACAAATACCACAAAATCCTAGAAGACAGAACAAAGACTTCAGATAAACAAACACTGGGGTAAAACCACTTAAGAATGGCTGAAAAAATGATAGAGACTCTACATTTAAACATAAAATTGCTTACTAATTTTAACAATAGATTTTCAAACTGGTTCGAGGTTTAATTAAAATAAAAATGTATACTGGCCTCTGAAAACTCAGTTAAATCAGCTGAAGTGTGTCATCAAATACACGAAACTTACTTGGTGTGCCTCAGTAATATTTATGTTTACAAGTCTCGCTAATTGCAAAAGTTACATATGAAAAGGGAATGGTGCACTTTGTGTTGGGGAAAACTCAAGAGTCCTTTAGTGCCCATCAAAGCAGAAAAGCTGTTCTGGGCCTTCCAAGTAATCACACTGCCCAAGAAGAGTGTGGGGGAAGAGGCTTGAGGAAGAGACCTGCATCGTGAGCAACAGGTACATTCGGTAGCTGAAGAGTCTCAAAAAGGGGGTGTTTTATTTTGATGGAATTTCCAAAGCTTTCAACTTGCTGAGGGTGACCTCTGCTGCCAACTTACAGGTGGTAAGGAGGAAATGTAAAAAGTAAGGCAGAGAAAATAAAACCAAATGGTGACAGATGTTATGATGCTTCCCAGATAGTAAGTGTAGTCTGCAATTGTCACTCAGGTTGAGACGTGTATTGTGAGTGAAAAATCTATACCTCCCAACTCTGGATTACTTGAGGAAGTCTTTAATTTGACAAATATTCACATCCCTAATTCATTAAAAGAGAAGACAAAGTCGGGCATTTTGGTGCATTCTTTTAATTCCAGCACTCAGGAGGCAGAAACAAGTTGAATTCTGTGAATTTGTGACCAGCCTGGTCTACATAGTGAATTCTAAGCCAGCAAGGGCTACATAAGGAGAGAGGGAGTGCAGGTGGGTTACTCAACAGAAACTCACTTCAAATTGCACTCTATTTCCAAGATGAAGCTAATCTTTCGTTTATTACAGTGCAAACAAAAATCCAATCTTGGCATAAACAAGCTGTTTGGAAAAACTTGTTGTAATGTACAGTGTAGACCCTGGGAGGAGGAATTAGCTTTTAGCACTACTAGAAACTGGAATAGCAAGGATCTCCTGATAAATTCCTGTTCTTCATTCCAAACTGGAGTCCTCAGAAAGAAGCCAAGGGAGGAAGTTCCCATTTTCTCTTCTTTTCCTGATTTACTTACTCATGGGGTAAAAGATTAATTGCAAGAGAGAACAGACAACTATAACAGTATACTAAGCAGCTGAGATTGCCCTGTTATCACAACCTATTTTGTATATAGATATACAGTCAAGTTCCCATAATATATCACAGATTCTGAATATGGGTAGATTAATTTACACTCTGTGATGTCTCCAAGCATCCTGAATGTGAGTCTTACACCCATGGCAGCCCATACATGAGTCTACCAAGTCATAGCTCCAGACACAAAGGTTTCTCAGTACCCCAGTATCTTCTCCTTCCAGACCTTGGAAATCAGTCAACAAGGCAGGAAAAAAAGAGACAAACAAAAGAGAGGTTCATCTAAGATTGGGAATAAGGTTACCTGCGAATTTTCAGAGCTGGAGCCCACCAAGGACAAGGCAAAAGGCACTTTGTCTCCAGAAACCAAGGCAAGCATAATTCCAGTGCCAGTGGATGGACGAATATTCAAGGTCACATTTATTTGCCAGCCGTCTGCATTGGTTACATTGTCTATTTAAAATGATAAAGTGAGACAGAAAATAATCATTGTAATTACAGTAGAGAAAATACTAATCATCAATTATTATAATCTGATTAAGATTCAAAGAGACTCTGTGAAGCACTCAAGATTTGAATGCCTTTTCTGGATGACATACATCACCAAATGCAGGGGGAGTCTCCACATTCCCATTCTTCTAAGAGGAAAATGTAAGATTACAGTACTAAGGAACACTCTAACTCCCCTGTTTACTCTTGTAACAACTACTCCTCTTATGCAAATTCACCAATGTTCAGACCTCAGAATGTTTAGACCTTACAGTTCACATTTAGAAGGAAGTTCAACGAATTGACTATATTCTTCCTGATATAAAACATTGATACAAAAGCCATCAACTCCCCATCATTACTCATTCTATAGCAATGGGAAGGAAAAATATGTTCTATACATGCACAGGGAGAGGTAGATAGTCTGCTAGAAGAGAGATACTGTGAACTCCACAGTCAATTTTTAAATTGGGTTGGAGACTCTTGCTTTGTGATAGTCTTCTTTTAATACTTGCCATCTTTTAAATTACTAACCTAGTTATCTACCAAAGTGGAGGGCTGGCAATAGGAGGTATGTGTCTCTATTATCACCTTGTTTTACATACCAGACAATAAATATTCACATATGTTTTCAAAGTATAGTCATGCACTTGTAATTATAGTCAGGTCAATGATGGTGACATTTTTGACAATGTTCTCCTAAGATTATGTCTCCTGGTGAAGTTATAGTCGGCTTACTTTACATAAGTCTATTCTGTAATGTTTATCAAATGATGAAATTGTCCAGTGACACAGTGATAGTTAGCTTTTATCATGAACTGGACATAACGTAGAATTAACTGGGAGAAAATTCTTAATGAGGGTTGTCTACATTGAATTGGCCTGTGGGGATGTGTGTGGGGGTTATCCCATGTAAGTCAACTGATGCAGGAAGAACCAGCTCACTACAGGTGGCAGCATTCCCTAGGCAGATGATCCTAAGCTGCATAAGAGTGGAAAAGTTGGGCTGAGGGTAAACAAACAAGCAAATGAGCATGCATGCATTCTTTTCTCTCTAGTCTTGAATATGGATGTGACTAGCTATTTCAAGCTCCTGACACTGCAACTTCCCCAGTATGACCTGGCACTGTAAACTAAAATAAATCCCTTTCTCCTCTAAGATGCTTTTGAAAATGAAACCACGACAGACACATTTTTCAGAACATAGTCACTCGTTAAGGTTCATAAATTACTTAATACTGAGTACTTTTAAACATTAGTTGAAGTCTTCCTCATTTACTGTGAAGTGATATATAACAAATTCTATAAAGCACTTGGAGTCTTTGAAAGGGTAAAAATGAATAAAGAAATGTTTTTCATTTGGCTGAACGTTCTTCTGTTTAGCTCCATATAATGAGACTACACATCCCATCATAATTTTTTTCTTTTTCTTTTTGGTTCATGTCAACTTTATTTTTTACACATTTTTATTAATTTATTTTTTACATTCTAATCCCAGTTACCCTCCCTTCTCTCCTCCTCACCCCACTTCCCCATCCTCCCATCTGCTCCATGGAGAGAGTAAGGCCCCTAGGAAGTCTACTAAGTCTGTTCCATCATCTAGTTGAGGCACAAACAAGGCACCTCTCCAACCCCCAGCCCTGTTTCTAGTCTGTGCAAGGTATCTCTCCAAACAGAAAGGGCTCCACTAAGTCAGTTTGTGCATTAGAGTTAGACCTTGAACCCACTGCCCATGACCTCATATATTATCCCAGTCACACCACTGTCACCTATGTTAAGGGAGTCTAGTTCAGTCTTCTGCAGATTTCCCATTTGTCAGACCTGAGTCAGTGATCTCTCACTAGCTCTGGTCAGCTGATTCTGTGGGTTTTCATTATAACTCTTACACAGAAAGAATATATGAATTTAGTGTGACGTAAATTAAGCAAAGAATATTGAATTCATACTAAAATGAATATTAACATGTGTGGAAGTTATATTATAACATTTAATGTTCTTTATGAAGTAAGTCATTTTCAAATCATCTACAAAATAACTTGAGAAAGTAATTTTTAGCTCCAATGTAACTTATTTTAATTTCCTTTTCTGGAAAATGTCCTTTAACAAACCAGTTTCTGGGAAGGGGTCCTCAGGGATCATTGTTCTTTTGCTTTGTCACTGTAGCTAAACAAAGACATGAGCTAGAAGCCAGAGCTCACAGACATGCCCAGATTACAATTATGACAACTGTAAACACTCCCTATTCCAACAGATGAACCAGGGATGAAACCTAGGAAGAGACTATCTCCCCACACCTCCACCCCAGAGCATCAGCAGGGTTAAGGTACTGTTCAAACTGTACTTGGAATATAGTTTGTCTAAAACCTACAAGGTTAATACCAAGAAAACTCAATTAAAATCATTATTAATAGTAAAAATAATTAGAGTTCTTATTGGAAATATTCCTCCCAATGCTCATCTCCCTGTAAATAATCAAGATATTGGAGGATGGACAATTTGACCTCTAGTTGGAGGCTAGTGAGCTCTCCTTTCCTGCCTTTCCTGCCTTGGAACAAAAGGTCTGTCACTCCAGTAGCCAGCCAGATTAATCTTACTAACCTTATGCCAGCACCAGTCATTTAAAACACTCCAGAGACACTATGAGATAATTACACAACAACTGAAGCTAATTGCTCAGCTCTGGAAGGTTCGGCCTCTCAGCCAAGGCTGTTTTGCCGTCACAGCACTCACTGAACTCTAGATGACCCTATAATGATTTCCACTTAGACCAGAGCAGGGACACTGACCCTGGTAGCCTAGCAGAGGCTCTTATAAGGCCAGCTCTAAAGAGACAACACCGTAATTGGTGGGAAGGCTCCCACTGTGGCTAAGAACAGGCTATTTGGTGGGAAGGCTCCTCCTACTGCGGCTAGAAGAGCAGACAGTTGGAGAAGAAGCAGCTGAACAGATAAGAGAGTAAACCAGGGCAGGGACAGGCAGTGGCAGAAGCAGAGCGAGGTTGGAGAACTGAGGACGAAGGTTAGAAAGCTGCACACAGCCAGAGAAGAGGCTCTGCAGGCCAGCATTACTAGAAGAGTTATAACAGATGTCAAGCCTTTAGGGCCAAGGGGTCTCAGATACCCCAGAGCCAGGAACTATAACACCAGCTGCTGGGAAGTGTTGTGGAATTTCTACTTCTGCGACTGTGATTACAGAACTAAGGGTCCTAGTTCTGAAAGCCTACAAAAGATTTGTAACACTAAAGGGTTGCTACCTTGCTCCTGTGGCCTTCCCACTGCCACCGTTTATTACTGTCAAACACTAAAGGATGTACAGCTGGCAAGGATCAGGACTGGAACTTTCATTGTCCACCCTTGATTTCTATGCAGGCAGAGCAAAGGTGTCTAACGGGGTCAGCTTCCTGAGTACCTGCCTTAACCTAAGTTAAAGATTATCAGTGATCTGCCCACCATGGAGACTGAACACTGGCTAGGCAGGTTCAGATATAGTATATAAGTTTGAATTCCTTAATTTGCACAAGGGGACCTGAATGGGAACTACAGACAAGAATCTTTTCTACATCGATGTACTATCTCTTTGTTCCAAGGGCTGCTACCTGGCTAAATGATGCTCATCTTCCACCCATCTCAAGGAGATACCCTGACAAAAAAGCAGCGTCTCTACCCCTCAGCATCCAGACTACTGTCTACTATTGCTGGACCCCAGAACCTGCCTAGGCCACAGCAAGTCATGACTGCTGACATGTGGGAAGGTATTCAACTTAACAATCTATAGTAAAGAAAAAATATGACCACGCTCACATCAACCACAGATGCTGTAACTTAAAATTAGTATTATGAATATACTGAAGACTTGGGAGAAGTTACACAGCATAGCATGTACAAAATAACCTCAGCAGAGACAGAAATGTAATAACAGATCAACAGAAATGATAGAAATCAAAACCAAGCTTTCTATGAATTAATTAGTGAACTCTAAACAGACTGCAAAAACATTGAATTTTAAAAACTGTTCAATTGAATATACCTCCAGTTACCTAGGCTATATGCCAGCCAAATTTAAATAATAATAAGCATAATTGCCAATCAGTATATTTTTTATAAAATATCTGAAAAAGATTTTAAGTATTTGACCACACAAATAAGATAATGCCTAACATAACAGCTACTCACTCCATGATGTTAACAGAATAAATCATTGCAGTTTGTCAGTGGATGTATTTAGTGAGTAGTGAGAAAAGAGAAATACAACATAAATCACTTACTATAATCTATGTTGAACTGAGCAATTCCAGAGCCAGGGTAATAGGAGCCCTTCTCCACCGTGAGGAAGCAATGCTTATTTTGCTTTCCTTGAATAATTTCCTTTGCACCTAAAGCTCCTTGTTTCATCAAGTTCCAGCCTCGTATACATCCATCCAGACGAGGGTTAATCTAGCACAATAAGATATAAATCAAAGAGTAGGAAATATAAATAGCTTCAATTGATTCTCAATATAGGTTGCATTTGGATGGAAACCCCGCTCTTTGATAGTTTATTAAAATACATTTAATTAAATCTAATTTTTCTTTCTGGCTGATTGTGCTTTTCAATAGAATGAAACTGTACGACTGAAGGCTCCCAGTGGGGTTCTAATGGTATTTACATCCTGAGGTCCCACCTGCTTCTCCCATGTAAGCAAGATTCAGTGGTAAACCCTCCCTATGATTCCAAGATGTCCCTGGCCTCTAAGCTGCTGCCATTCTTGGTGTGCATTTACAGTGTAGGTTTATCTGACAATGCCGATGCTACTCCTCTTCAGGAACAAGAGGCTTGCACTCTTTTGGCCTCACAAAAGCATCCAGCCAACTTCAAAGTACATGGTGGCCATTCTGGTTGATTCTTCTTGAATAATTTACTTTACCATTAGAGTACTGTAATCCATCAATTTCAAAAATTTGGAATATTTGTTTTGGCATGGTTTAACTAATATAATTTAATATCACATAGAAATCTATTAGAAGTTAAAGGGACTTTGAGTTGTGAGGAGAGAAAGGTAGGCAGATATGAAGTAGTAAATATTTAAGTTAGATCAACCAGATCTTCTATCACAGCCATGAATTCAGGTGACTTCTTTTTCTTTCTTTCTTTCTTTTTGGTTTTGTTTTGGGTTTTGAATTTTTTGGTTTTTCAAGCTGGGGTTTCTCTGTGGAGCCCTGGTCATTCTGGAACTTACTCTGTAGACCAGGTTGACCTCGAACTCCGTGACTCACCTGCCTCTGCCTCCTGAGTGCTGATCAAGTGACATTTTGTAAACTCTTCAAAGACAATGGCTGCCTTCTTCAACTCTACTCAGTAGTTATATGACAAACATTGCATTCAGAACATTGTATTCATCTGTTGTAACTAACATTTTTATAATATGTTCCATTAACCCTCTGTGTTACCCTTAGCTTACAAATTTTTGTCTTAAAATAAAACTAAGAAAGACTTTGGATTCATATATGATTTTAGGAATAAATGTATATTTTGTATACTTAATGACTGAGTGTAGAATATCACAGTGTGAACAATGAGCTAACAACTTGAGAACTTACAAACCTACTGCTTAATGAACAACACTTCAATTTAAATGAACACAAAACCACAATGGTCATTTTCTTATTTCCTTACTATAATTTCAATTATTTCAAGTCATTTTCCTATGCTCAGTACAAATGATCACACTTGGTATATTTAGCAAAATTACTTCTATGGAGTGTCATGAAAACACATCTTTAAACGTATTACAGACAAAGGAATTCACCCAAGATGAACGGCACAAGCTGAGTCATTACCGGTTTAATGAGTGCACTTTCCACTATCCGAGGTAATCCTGCAAAGTATATTTTGGTGTCCAGAAATCCATCTGCAGGTTTAAAAAGGTTCCCAAGTTTATTTATATTCATCACAGCTTCTTTAGCTATTTTAATGCTAACACTGTCGTCTAATTCTTCCACAGATACCTACAATTAAAAATACAAAGCAAACATCAGTGTATGGGTATTTGAGATAGTTGATTGAAAAATCATATTGTTCCATTAATTCTATATCATCAATTTAATAAAATTTTAATTTGTTCAAACCTATTTGGAGCATAACTGTGATTAAAACCCATTTTAAGGAGATAGAACTTGATCTCAAAAGTACATCTTAAAGTTTAAAAACACTAACATTTTAACATTCAATTATAATCTATACCTTTAACCCCTTTATGCCTATCTTAGGGTTTCTATTGCTATAGAAAGACACCATGACCACGGCAACTCTTATAAAGGTAAAACATTTAATTGAGGTGGCAGCCTACAGTTTCAGAGGTTTAGTCCATTATCATCCTGGTGGGCAGTATGGCAGCTTGTAGGCAGACATAGTGCTGGTTACACCTCGGTCAGAAGTCAACATGAAGTGCACTATCTGTTACATTGAGTGAAGCTTGAGCAAAAGAGACCTCAAAGCCTGCCCCAACAGTAACACACTTCTCCCAACAAGGCCCCACCTCCTAATATCTCGCCACTCCCTTTGGAGACCATTTTCTTCCAAACCTCTACAACGCCATAAAGTAAAGTTTCAAAAAGGAAAGTGAGTCTTTTTACCTGAAGAAAACCTTAAGTACTTTTATTTTGCAACCAATGTATTATATATACAGAATCAATAAAGTAGTAAATTTATAATGTTAGTTACAAAAAATCAGCAATACCCAACATTCATTGCAGCACATACATGCTGTATTTTTTTTCAAATCCAATTAGTCCTTAAAAATCAAAGAATGTTGAAAGAAATTTTGGTTTTAAAAATAGTTCAAAGTGACAGTAAGCATGACTGAAAAGTCATCCTACACAATTGCTTCACGTAGGACTGCTACACTCATGAGGCAAAAGCTTACTAATCAATAACAGAAAGCAAGCAATAGCATGTAAACACAGTAACATGTACAATTCCTCCCATTCTCTTTGACAAGTATTGATTTCTTGGGAATGAATTACAAGTCACTTGAATCTTTACCTGTCATGCATCTCTGAAATAAGCAACATTTGATTTTTGAAGTGTATGAACCATGTCTATATTTTCAAATGTAATTTTGCATTTCTGTTTTAAAAACAGTTTGACTTTAATTCAAGACACATGCGTCTAATTCATGTATCTACACATGAGACCCCTATAAGCAAAAATTTACAGGCAGAAGCTGGCCTCACTTGTTATACACTGCTTATATCTGTGGGTTCACATTACTAAAGTGGATACCAATTAAAAAACACTAACATAAGTTTGAAGAGAGACTTAACATAAAAAATGTCCTGAGAATGTGTTCACTTTTTCATACCCCTATGAACACCCCAACCAAAGCTACAACCCAGTTATGGGTTACTGCAAAGGTCTTGAAATCCCTGCCCTATTCTCTATTGACTGGTTTCCAAAATGCCATCAGGTTTTAATCAGAACTATTCTTTAAAATGTAAATTACATTCTGTCACTTCTCAAAACTATCCAGGGACTTCCCACACAGCATAACATCTGAGTCTTCACTATGGTCCTCAAAGGCCTTTATCTAGACTTCAATTCTGACCTCATTTTTTAACTCTTCTCTCCCAGTCCAAGGCATCTACACTCATTTTTGTGCTATTCGTCAAACACACAAACATCATTCCCTATGAGACTTCGAACTTGCTGTTCACATTGCACAGAATCCCTCTATAATCTCGTCCACATTTTTCATGACTTGCTCTCTCAAGCCTCTGCTCAGATGTAACCTTGTCAAGTTCACCTCTTCAATATCACATGCTCACTGGATGTACACATACTCAGTGTCATGCCTTGTCTTGCTTTCCGTTGTCTTCATAGCATCAATGAGCATGTAATCTAATTTATCCGCAATTTGACATTCAGTGTGAGCATGTAAGCTTCGTGTGAGCAATGACTGCTTTACTCATCATTGTAGCCTACCTGGTAGAATAAGGAATAGCAAATGCAGGGTTCAATAAATAGCTGTTCAATGAGTTACAATGCCAGAATTGGGATCAGACAAAATAAGTGACAAAACAGCAACAACAACAACAACAAAAAAAAAACCTCATGACAACTAAGTGTGGTTATGTTTGGTCAGGGATATCTTCATATTAATTTATGACTGCTAATGAGTCCTGACCTAGAGGGGAGACCCAATATTCACCCCAAAATAGCTACTAAACAGAGAGAAAATTTGACAACAGAGCAGTTAAAGTAAGTAGACAGAACAGTTTCTCAAATTGCTACTGGGACCAACAGTGCACAGAATGTATTTCATGCTACATTGGGTGACCAACATGATGTGGTTTGACAATCTGAGTATAATTTTACAAAAAGTGCATCAAAATAAAGAGATAATTCTGAAATCCAAACATACCATATTCCATACACCATTGTTAATAACATTGCCTCCGGTTGTGATTTGGGTTGAAAACTCGTTCTTAAACTGAACTTCAATCTTTCCATCACGAAGTGCAATCAGGAGCCAATTTGAGTGGTCAAGAGATTCTGCATACAGTATGATGCCCTCGGAATCATATGTCCGAAAATCAAATTCAGCTGAAAATCTAAACAAAGAGACACTCCTCAGAAGGTTCAGTGTGTCCCCCAACACACGCACCTTGTACTGGCAAACAGTACTATACTGAAAGAAAAAAAATTCCAATATTTAAGACAACTTCAAAAAATGATTTAAAAGGGAACCATTAAATTGTTCATGGATTGTCTCTGGTTCCATATGTATTTTAAAAATTTGGTTATTACAATTTCTTGATTATTCTAGGAGTCTTTTCTGCATGAATCGATACTTTGGCAATCTTTTATTGATGGTAGTGTTTTGATGGCAACTTTAGGTGTTAGAATTAATGCATGTGTACAGATATTACGCTTCCTGGAACCTTTTATATACTCTAAATGTAAGAGTAATATTGTGTGTGTGTGTGTGTGTGTACTTACTGAATCCATGAGTGATTAGTAAAAGATGTTCCAACGGCATACTTGGTTTATCTAGCAAAGGGCATACGTTCCCTGTGATTTGACCTATTCCAGAAAAGGATCACTTACAAGACTACTCCACAGAATAGCTTTTGGTGAGTAAAGACATAAGTAAAGCCAGGCGTTGGTGGTGCATGTCTTTAATCCCAGCACTCGGGAGGCAGAGGCAGGTGGATCTCTGTGAGTTCGAGACCAGTCTGGTGTACTGAGCAAGTTCCAGGGCAGGCTCCAAAACAATACAGAGAAACTCTGTCTTGAAAAACCAAAAGAAAAAACAGACATAAGTAAACATTCATGCAATCATTGGAAAGAGGCAGTGTGGCTCTGCCTTGCCTCAGGACAGGACTATGAGCCACAGGAGCTGACTAAATATTGTGACCATGCAGAACCACAGCGGCTACCCTGAGCACTTCCTGTAACACACCAAATGCATGTGAGACATGATTGGAATAGTGTGTGCTTTTGATCATAAGAACTATGCTACTGTGTCACCCAAGATCTCCATAGACAAAAATATCCCGAATTCATCAGGAAGGAAAATCTTACAGGTGCCAGGTGTTGACTGAGTGCCTGCTCTTAGAATATGTTAGTGGGTATCAGTGTGAAGATCCCCAGCCAGGTAACAAAAATGTTTCTAAAACAAAGACAAATAAAAATTATTTGCTTATATTTTACATATTTTAATATATGAGTGCTCTCTACTTGTATACTTGCATGCCAGAAGAGGGCACCAGATTCACCATGTGGTAGCTGAGAATTGAACTCAGGACCTCTGGAAGAGCAGCCAGTGCTCTTAACCACTGAGTTGTCTCTCCAGCCAACCAGGACCTGTCAGCATGAGCTGACTCTTTGGAACCTATTCCCTATGGTAGGATTCTTTGTTCAGTCATGATGCAAGGGGGAAGAGCTTGGTCCTGTCTCAACTTGATATGCCATGCCTTGTTGATTCCCATGGGAGGCCTTACTCCACCTAAATGGAGAATGAGGAGGGTAGGGGTAAGAAGGGAGGTGGGGAAGGGAATGGGAGTAGAGGAGGGAGAGAAACTGTGGTTGGCATATAAAATAAGTTTTAAAAATGATGAATAAAAAAGAAAAGAAAATCCAAAACATCAAATGCTATTAGAAAAAAAAGACAAATAGGAAAAAAGAATCGTATAATCATTTATTATTTAAACTAGATAGAAGAGTTTGAGTTAGAGACAGGACTTCTGATTGTTGCTAATAAGTCAACAAAGAATCCCATATAGATATCCCACCATTGCATTTTAGTAATCACAAAGGCAGCACTTGTAATTGGAAAAGACCTTCCTTGAAGGAAACAAAGAAAGAGGCCAAATAAATATTCCTGTATTTTCAATTTCCAAGTAAGTATTTGAAAGACATAAAATGTTGAGTGCACTGTGTTGAATGAATAACATTGTACTAGGAATACATGGACCTGTTCATATTTAAGAAAGAGAGAAAGAAAGAAAGAAAGAAAAAAGAAAGAAAGGAAGGAAGAAAGAAAGAAAGAAAGAAAGAAAGAAAGAAAGAAAGAAAGAAAACAATTTCCTTTGGCAGAAGGACTTATGTCCTTCTTTACAATTGTCTGAGCATTTGGCTGATGTGAAGAACAAACTTTCTTGCCAAAAACTAAATCTGTGTTTGGTCACGATCTTCCAGGAGTTGATCCTATTATGGAGATAATTTCCTTTTCTTTGTAAAGTGATGCTTAACTGTATTTCAAAGAGTTGTGTTCTGCATATGTTCTTTCTGGAATACATCATCACATCCTGACTCATTACATTGGGGACCAATTTATTCTGTTTCAAAAGTATTGTAGAGTTGAAAAGAGACAGAATTTGTCAACATTTGGCATGGCAAGGGAAGCAGTGGATTATGGGAAACAGAGGTGAAGAAGTTACTTTAAGCAAATCACTTTATAAATATTCATCAAACCGTGCATTTAATATGGAATGTATAAAAGATACTGCACTTCTGAAAGTAAATAAATCAGTGAAGAAACTAAGGAATACTGGAGGAATTGGTTTGCTAATTCTGATCCAAAGTTAGGTACCAAGTTAGAATGAGTTGTCATAAATAAATAATATGGAAGTAAATAAAGATATTGCAACAGTTTTCTCCCTCATCCTCATTGTTATTATAACAAAGAAGAGTTTCCAGTCTTACTCAGAAGAAAATAATATTTGTTCAGAAATGTTTGTAGTGAAAACCAGATATTGAGGGAAATGGAATGTCCAAGCAACACACTCAATTAAATTAACTGAATCTTAGAATAACTTCAATGTTCTTTCATGAAAAGAATGCTATACATTCAGATCAATTAATTAGTGAATGATCTATGTCTAATTAAATTCTAAACATGCATGATTATTTAATTATATATTTTGAAAGCTAGGTTCTAAACTTAACTTTAAGTAATTTTCCTTCTCTTTATTACATCAAAATTCCGATTTATTGCTTCTAGTTTCAACATGTATGCATTGAGAAAATTGGACAAGTGAGAATTATGATTGAGAATCACAAACAAAAACACTTTCCCTAAAGTTAATCTAACTACAGAAACAAAAGCTGAGGTACTCAAATTGCCAAACTAAGTAACCATTTATTTAGAATATTACTTATGTGGCATCTTGTTAATTTTCCTTATTAGGTTTGAATGTAATGATACACCATCAATACAGTGATATTTTCACTTAGTTTTTATAATGTATAAAAAAGGGCTAAATTTTCAAAAGTGAATTAGATCCAATTTCTCAGCTTCTTGGCAAATATGTCACCAGTGGGAAATGGAAAATGATGGGATAAAGTAAGTTTGTATTGAGAAAGTCAGGCTTGGATTTGAAAAGACTCTAGTGTGAAAATTACATGTGTGAAGATCACCTAAATGGTATATACCTAAGTTATGAGATTGATAACAGACCTACAGCTGTCTGTCTTCTCTCCTCTCCTCGTCTGTTTAACCTGTAGGAATTCCCAATGACATCCATTCCTCACCTGGTAATTTCTGGCAAACGAAATTTCAAATATAAGACAACTCCTGCAAACTGCTCGGCCAAGTACAATAATTCATAATTTTTGTCAAGGTTCAAGGGAAGGCACACTGGAATACCCTGGAGGAAAACAAGATGCATGGATTATTGTATGCAGTTTGTCTTCTCTCTTTAGTTTCTCAAATAGCCTCTGAAATATCCTCATGTCAAAATGTCTTTGCAAAGGATAAGGAATATCTTCCATCTCCTTACAAAAGCAATCCACAAAGACTCCGAAATATGTTAGCTTTACTTTGGATTCTCTTTATCATTTCTTTCTTATACCTCAGTGTTAAACACAAACATTTTTTAAGTCCAAGCAAATATGGCGTCAATAAACCGTACAATGCCTTGTATTAATTATATCTAAAAACTACTCATTTGGTTGTTAAGAAAAAAATTGTGAACAAAAATGTGCTTTCTAGATTTTCAAGAGAATGCTGACCACACAGGAGGTAATAAACCTAATTTAGTATCTCATTCTCTAAGAAATTTATATGAAAATGATTCAAAGTCATGTGATCTCCAATCAAGTATTTGTTTCTAAGAGCTGAAAAGCAACATTAAAGTAGAAAGTTACCTAGAAATGGGATTCTGGGTACAGGGAAGGAAATTTTGCCCTGGATTCTACAGTTATTAAATAGGGCCTCAGAAAAAAATTCATATCTACTCCAAGGTGGACAGTAGTATGTACTACAGAACATACTGAAATAATAAGGGACTAAACTATAAAATAAGAAATTCTACTACATGGCCTTTCTGTTGAGTAAACCCAGAATTACCAGCTATAGCCACTAACCTCCTGATCTTCCTTCATGTAGATAATGTTATTTTTTATTGCTTTTTTTTTCTAAGCATTTACTGGTTCATCTTGGTCGTGTGTGTGTGTGTGTGTGTGTGTGTGTGTGTCCATATAGTCATATGGTTATGGTTATACACAGTGAAATCATTTAGGAATTTTAAACAGTCTTCCTCATAATCATATATAATTTTACCCTTATATGTTTTACAACACAGGAATAAAAAGAATCACTAACATGTATACCTTATTATTTCTAAAAGGAAAAAAAAGGAGGTAGGTGAGGGATTCAAATATTGACTTATTCAATGAAGGAAAAGTTAAAACCATCCTACAAATTGATTTCTTGTGTCAATTATGCATTAAATCTGGGTGTGGAAATGCGTGTTTGAGACACACTGATGAGCATAATTGGTCTCTGAATTATGATACATTTAAAGTCACCAAATCTTTTTGAGACAAGTTTGTTTTCACCAGGAAGTTTACGAACACTGACAAGTACAAACAGGCAGTGTGCAAACTTGCCAGAGTGTAATACAGGACACCGAGGATGCTGTCATTAAATTTCTGTGTAATATTCCTTTAGTGGGATTAGAGGACACTGGAGATAGACGCCCTCTTCATAAGCATGCTCTTGTAAAACCAAAGATGGTAACTGCAGGCTTTAATTACTGCTCAGAGAAATGAGACCTGAGTCCTCTCTCTGAGACTGAGAGGAGACAGAATCATATTGAATAGCAAAGAGGTCATTACTTGATAACTATCTAAACCTGATTCCAGGATCCCAACACTTCATAATGAATAACTACCTAGTTGGAGGCTTTCTGATAAAGCACAAAGGTACATCATTGCATGGTGAAGTGACAATCAAGAAAATGGGTCTGCCAATGTCTGGGCAGGAAAATGGCACTCGGAAAAGCTGTCTGTTCTGGAGATTTTATAAGTCTCTTTTGTTTGTTTTGTTTTTGAGACAGAGTTTCTCTGTATTGCTTTGGAACCTGTCCTGGAACTTGCTTTATAAACCAGGCTGGCTTCGAACTCACAGAGATCCGCCTGCCTCTGCCTCTTGAGTGCTGGGATTAAAGGCAAGCACCACCAACGCCAGGCAGGAGATTTTATAAATCTTGAAAAAAAAAATAAGGAGACTAAACTACATATGGACACAATGTATTGTCTAGCCATTGTTCACTCTCACCTCGAGAGAATGGTCTTCATTCTTATCCCTTGACAGTCATCAGGCTTTGTAGTGTTTTTCTCTGGTCACTTATAACTCTTGCCCTTTGAGAGTATGTTTTCCTATTCTAAAATAAACCACTCTATCATTAACATTGTGTTCTGAATTTCAACTGAATTCTTTCAGAGAAGATAAATGCTCTTCACTGAAAGCCCAGGGAATGGGGATCCTGGGTCTCTCATTAGAAAAAAAAGAGAGAGAGATAAGCTGTTTGTTTGCTGGGTTGTAGTGGTACAAGTCTTTAATCCCAACACGTGAGAGACAGAAGCAGGCAGAGTTGTATGAGTTTGAGACCAGCCTGGTCTACAAAGAGAGGTCCAAGACAGGCTCAAAAACAGAGAAAACCTGTCTCAAAAACCAAACTCCCAAAAAGTTGTTTGTTTAATTTTTGTTTTCTTCTCATTGCTCTGTGTAGCCCTGGCTATTCCAGAACTCACTTGATAGACCAGGCTAACCTCAGAGATGCTCCTGCCTCTGCCTCCTGGGTACTGGGATTAAAGGCAAGTCCCAACAGCCAGGCTTGATGAGACGTTTTGAATTTTCAAAGGTTACCTCGCAACTCTTCTGATCTTGGGCAAGCTTGAATCCTTTCTTCCCATCACAGTAACAAGAGTAGCCTCCGGGGTAATTGACACACAGTTGAGCACACATGTTCTCAGAGCATTCGTCCACATCTGACATGAAAAGAGAACAACCTTCATAGCTTCTAAATGTCCAATCCAACAGGCACTCAGTAGTCACTCAGAAAACACAACTGCTGTGACAGCATATCCAAACACTTGACATGGAAGTTTCAGGGTCCTAAGTGTAATTTTATGTATATGTTCCAAATAATTTTATAGTCTTCAATAATTAATTACAACAGCATAGTAATTATACCAATTTTCTGATTTTCAAGTAAAAGAACTGTCATTTCTGATTATAAGAATTTCTGATTATAAGAATTTCATTGTAATCAACTTCCAATTCTTTGTTTTAAAAATAAGGAAAAAAGGGAGAAGAGAAGAAATTAGAAGGGGAAGGAGGACAAAGGTGAAAACAGGGAAGAAAATGTAGCGAGGGGGCCGGGAAGCTGACTTTAGCTAACTGAAAGTTAATGCAATGAATAAACTGACAATAGCAAAAACATCTGACTTGTTATAATAATTCAATAAGTAAAACATTCTCTTTTTATTCGAAAGAAATGGTTTATTCTGAAACCAAATAGGGGTAATACTCTCTCAGGAGAGTATTCCAGGTTCCAGCATGGAAGCAGTTTTATAAAATTTGTATAGTAAAAGAACCAAGAAATTCATGAATCAAGGCACTTATTAGATACCCAGGTGAAAACATTCAGTGGATAAAGCGAAGTAGAGAAATCCCAGCTATGGGCACCAAATGTTATCTGATAAGTCTTATAAGATTCATTCATTTACGTAGGTAAGTGCTGTATTTGTATGCATGCCTGTGTGACAGAAGAGGGAGGGCATCAGATCCCATTATAGATGGTAGTTGCTGGGAATTGAGGATCCTTAGAAGAGCAGCCAGTGCTCATGATCGCTGGACCATCTCTCCAGCCCAAACTTTGTTTTGTTTTGGTTTGGAGACCTGAGTTTCTCTGTGTAGCCCTGGCTGTCCTAGAGCTTGCTCTGTAGTCCAGGCTAGCCTGAAACACAGAGATTTGCTTGCCTCTGTCTCCCGAGGACTGAAGTTAAAGGGGCACTCCAAAGCCTGCCTTTTGTTTGTTGAAAACTAAGGTTTTGTGAAGCTCATGAAGGTGGGCAAGGAGAGGCTACTTAGAGGACTAAGATAGCGCAAGAGTAACTTGTAATCAGGCTCTGAGCCTGCAACAACTAGACCCATTCATAATCATTACTATTTTAGCTAATCTATCAGCCTTTGTAGTCAGAGTTTCTTTGTAGCAATTCAGATCCACACAAATATCTACCATACGTATCTAGACTGGATTGTCTACCCATTCGTTTGCTATCTGCTCCTGCTCATGACCTTTGCCATTGTCCTCCAACTTTCAGATTCAGTGTCCTTCTATGTAACTGACCAATGCATGGCTTCACATACTTATTTCCTCCTCCCGGTGATTACTCTTCCTTTGTCAGCCTTTCCCATGTACACATCCCTTCATCACCGATGCGTTTTGAACAAGACACCTACCTCTACTTCTCTCAAAGAAGTACTCCATCTCCCAACACATCAATGTCTTTCAGTTTACATTTTAGAGTCACTGTATTTTGCTCTCTCACCAACTCATATTAAATATCATAAGACTTGTTAATATCTGTGTCAATTTTATCTTGTGTCTCCAGCTTAAATTTATAAGTGAAGAAAGTTTATCTATTTGACTCATTATTTTGTTTCCATTTTAGTAAGTAGTGTTGAATAATGAATATTTGTCATGATCAAGATGGGTGATATTAAGAAATTGTGGCCATAAATTTAATGACATATATTAATGTTTTTCAAACCTTATTATGCCATTACCTGCCATAATTTGAAGTCTTTTAACTGATCTGTCCCCAACTCTCTACTTTGTAATAACATGCCTAGCCTAAAGATTGTTCCAGGACTAGAGAAAGTCCTTGACATTTCATTGGATATATCCTATTATAAATTTATGAAGTTCTTATTAATACTATCATGTAATATATGCTCTTTTAAACACTTTAAAATACATTTCCAGAGTTAATGATACTCTAAATGCATTAAAATTGTATGATATGAGATTAAAATAAGATATATATATGGACTCACATAAAACATTTAAAAATCTGTCCTTTATGACACGAAACTACAATCTAGGTGATGAAAATGGCTAATAATAATGATGAGAGCAGATAACAGAGGCTGTTCCTGCCGTTTAGGAATGAGGACTTTCATTCTTATCCTTGTCCAGAGGCTAGAAATGTCCATGGTTTTGCCATGCTGGAGGCCACGGATGTCCATAGTGTTTGGGAGCTTTCGTTTCCATCTGATTTTTTGCTCTCTTGCTTCTCCTTTTACACAGCTTCCTAGAAGCTGTATCTGAAGATGTGACCGAAACAGTATCCCAGACACCTGGGGCTTTAGTAAAAGCACAGGGCTAGATGGATAGCCCACCTTCCTCTCCTCAACAGTTTCTGGGCTACACTACAGCCTACACTAGGCCCCCAAAAGAGCAGCTCCGTAGTACCCCATTTCTGGGGCAGCTGCTGCTCCAAAGAAGCTCTGCTGGTTTGCATTCTCTTAAATTCCTGTCTATGAACCTTTTTTAAAAACTTAACTTCTCTGTGGCCAGTGAGAGTCGTCCTTTGAATTACCAAGACAAGGACCTGACTTGTGGAAGGTCTGGGACTATAATAACACCCTAACTTCTGTGTTAAGACCACTTGAACTGAGAAAGCCTCTGTCATAATCAAGGACCCTGCTGATCTTTGTTTTAGTGTATCTGAGAGTTGCTACGTTTCCCAATGATTGCAATGAGTGGGTAGTGGAAAGTAGAAATGGATGGGTGTGGAGATAGGGTCAGGTAAAACATCAACATTTCAACAGCACACTAAAAATAGAAAAGAATCTATTATATAATGACTATCTGCTCATATAAATTCAAAGACAGAAAGGTTTATTATAGTAACAGGGGTTGCCTGTGATAAGGTCACCATTAAGAGAGAACTTGCTGTTGTCTGCATAACAGTTTCTATTTGGTTGATGAAAAGGTTTTGAAAACAGACAGCTGTGATGTGGAAGCTGCAGAGCTGAGTCCCTGAGCTTCTGCTTGAAGAGCTTTATAAGCATACAGTTATGTTCTATTATCATTGTTGTGATTAGTTTTAGACACGATGCTAATTCAATTCGAAATATTAAAACATTTAAAGGAAGGTGAGATGATTTGAAACCTCAGACAAAAGCAAACATAATGCGCTGAAGCTAGCCGAGGCATCCATGCTGACACCATGGCAACCTCAGGCAGGAAGAGCAGCAGCATCCACCAGGGGTCTTGTCATCACAGATCAGTAACCCTCAGCTTTCTGGAGCTCCATTGTGATGTCCATCATGGTAATAGATATCTCACTTCACATTTTCTCCTTGTTATTTACTTTATTTTATCTTATATGTGTGTGTGCCTGAATGCATATATGTGCCATGTGTGTGCAGGTGTTGGAGGAGGCCAGAGGAAAATGTCAGATCCCTAGAACTGGACTGACAGGTAGCTGTGAGTCACACGACATGACTGGGAACTGAATCTGGATCCTCTGCTAGAGCTGCAAAATGTTCCTGAGCCATCTTCAGTCCCAATTTCCTATTTTAAAGTCACCAACACCTATTCCTGATAGTGAACTTGATGTCTATAACCATCCTGGAGCTTTCATCCAGTGACTGATGGAAGCAGAGGCAAACACCCACAGTTAAACACTGAGCAGAACCCAAGGAACCCAGCGACAGAGAGAGAGAAGCGAAGAGCAAATTGGCAAAGAACGGGGTGGCAAAACCAGCAGAGACAGCTGATCCGAACAGGGGAGAGCTCTTGGACCCCAGACCGTCAGCTAGGAGGCCAGCATGGGATAGATCCAGACCCTCTGAATGTGAGAGTCAATGTGGAGGCCTGGGCTACCTATGGGGTCCTGAGCAGTGGATCAGTGTTAATCCCTCGAATACTAACAGACATCGTGTGTCCATAACACAAAGAGGGTTGCTCTCTCCGCCTGGACTCTTAGGGAAGTGCCTGGACCCTACCCTGAATGAAATGATAGACCCTAGATATCCCCTATGCGGAAGGAATTAGCAATAGGGTGGGAGGATGGGGGGGGATGGTGGGGGGAGGTGCGGGAGGAGGGGAGGGAGAGGGAACTGGGATTGACATGTAAAACAAGCTATTTAAAATTAAAAAAAAGAAATAGAAGAAAAAAGCAAAAAAAAATCCAACAAATGCAAGAAAAAAAAAATAAAGTCAACAACGTATGCACAGAAAATGGCTGAAAATGTTTGGAATAAAACCTAAGGTTGATAAGAAGGCTCATGGTTTCAGTCCCACAATTAAAGTGTCATTTTTCTTTGCCTATATGAATTTTTCCTTTCAAATTAAAATTTCAATGTTATTGAAAGACTATTAAAATATCTTCATTTTGCTTTTATGACAAAGGAAGTCTCTAGTTTTTATGAAGGTTAATGGGTTAAATGGAATGAATAATATTAAACCCAAAGACCATGGGTCTTCCTTGATACTTCTATTCTGTAAGGAAGCCAACAATCACCAAATCAACCAAGTTACATCAGAGATTAGCAAGAGAAACACTCTTCCAAATATTATCCTGGGTTCAAACCCACCCTCTTTACTACGCACTGATAGCATCGCCATTCTACCTTTGCAAGACTTTGACGAGGGGTCATATCTGTAGCCTTCAGGACATTCACACTCAAAGTCTCCTGGAGTGTTCTTGCACACAGCTGTGCCACAAACACTGGGCTTCAGAGAGCACTCATCCACATCTACAAATAAAATCAATGTTAAGATTTTTCCCAATATCAAGTAAACACTTATTTGTTCCCTGAATCTAACATATGTATGCATGTATACATATATATATGTATATATATATCTCACAATAGAGTAGCCTTGAAACAGTAAAACAATAAATCTATCACCACGCTTTAATTCAACCATATTCTTAATATTCTTTAAATGCACTTCTAAATTTATATTTCTGAAATTGGTTGTAAATGTAGATTCACTTAACTTCTGCTACAATTATTTAACAAGTGAAAACTCGTTTGTTTTGTATTTTTATTTGGAAGTTGACAGATATCTAACTTTTCCCCAACTGTCCTACACTAATCAACAATGATTTACATTTAAAGTGGAGCTAATTAAGTCTAAAAGTATTTCTAAAACTGCACTTACTCTAATATCTTTTAGTGTTAGGTTAATACTCTCAAATTTCAGAATCATTAGCTGTATTACATGGTGTACTAGGAAACAAAAGATGGATTGCAAGGAGGTGGTAGGTGGCACTTTCGAGCAAACAAAAACATCTTCATAGATGCAATTATTGCTCAGCTTTGTTCATGGAGGTCAATGAGGAAAGACAAAGTTGAGTGGGAAATGCATTTCCAACTTTGAAAATTGGCAGTTTATCTGGGGAGATGAATAGATGAAAATTTAGGCATTGTTCTGTTTCAAATAACGTGCTCCCAAATAATGGAATTAATCACTTTGGTAAGGGAGTGTCAAGGCCAGTATTCTAAGTATGAATATTACCAATAAGGGAAAACCTAAAATCTATAATATTCCTTACAACTTAATACAAATCCTCAGCTGATTGAAAATAGTTAAGTGTCAAAATGCTTTTATAATAAAAAGTTCATGCCTTTAAAAGAAAATAAAAACACATTACTTAAATTACTTGGCTTTATACATATTTGTAGGGAAATATATAGATCATATGAATTTAGATACAGAACATTGACATGATGACTCTGTATCTACCTCTAACGCTGACAAGGCCTTAGATTTTCATATTTAGTCAGTAACTGCCAACCTTATTCCATGTATATCCTCACCATGGTCAAGGTCGACTGCAATAGTTTTCTACATATTTTTCTGTAAGTTCTGTGCTTGCTGTGTACCACAGATGAATTACTATGCAAAGAAAGAATAAAAGACTCATGTTCTGGTCTTCAGAACATTCTGTGGGTTGTTTGGTGGCAGTGAGAAAAGCATCCAGGCCTTCCATATGCTAAGCAAGCACTCTACCACTGAACTATATATTCCCAGCCAAAAAAAGTTAGTTTTTATAATTGTACATGCATGTATTAATTCATTGTGAATATGAAAAAATTCATAAAATTGGGAAAAGAATAGATAATTCAAGTATTTAAGTGTTTAAGTAGGAATTGGTATTATCTCTTTATATAATGTATGTGGTACACTGAATTATAGTTGCATCCTATAATTGCTGTTGTAATGATGCCCCTATTCCAATAGTCAAACTAAAACATTCAAAAAGACAAATAAAGATATACAGTCATAAATTGGATAATGGCTTGGAAGAGACTGTTAGTAAATGCATTTCATTTCAGTTTATTCCACAGGACTTTAAATTATACTGTAGTGAACTACAGAATACTGAATGCTACCAAAAAGACAGAAAATGCCTTGAATGTGAATTTTGACTGGAGATTTTCTAAGACAGAAGTAGAGGCTTACACGAGGAAACTTCACATTTAACCTACTGAATTTTTAAACTCTTAGAAAGAAGAACAAAATACTTTTTAAGAGATTCTGCACTGTAGCAAGATTTCACTGCAAGCTCAGAATTCTGTGTTTAGCTATCCATTCACCTAGCAGGAATATGTATAGATTTCATAGAGCAATTCAGCATGTGCAAGGAGAAAAAAGGAAAATGTTGGGATACAAAGGAAATACATTGACAACATACAAAAAGCTAACCACACAGATTATTTAAATCCTAAGGAAAAAATACTTAAGAGCTGTGGTACAATAGTCAGTGTGTAAAGAAAATGAAAAATTGGGATTCCTCATCTTTCTCAGAACCATCATTAGGTATGGGGTGCAAAATAAAGGCTTTATTTTAAAAATCAGAAAGGTATTTCTGACAAGCAAAGAGAAATATAATAGTGGGGTTATTAAGATTTATAGATTTCTTTGTGTATCTGCTATTTACCTTATGGAAAAAATAGGATAGTAGCTGATCCTGAAAATGGGACAAACAACAGTTTTGAAATGTGTATATCACTGCATCCTCTCTTTTGAGTAAAGTGCTTTAATTACCCTTATTTATCAATAAGCAAATTCTTGAAATATGCACTTGTCTGTGTGCACACACAAGAAGATTGTTATTGGTAATATAAACTAAAATGGAGTTCAAAAGCATCACAAGGCTCCAAGACATAGCAGCACATTTAAAGTAAGTACTTTCTGATCACAGCGTCTTCCAGAAGTTTCCCAAGGAAATTCCTCTACCTGACCGTTGACCTCACACAATTAATAGATAATACATTTGTATCTCATTTCTGTGCTTTTACCTTTGCAGTCTTTTTTATTTGAAAGCATAGCAAAGCCACTTCTGCAGGAGCAGTGGTAACTTCCAGGGGTGTTGTTGCAAATCTGGCTGCAGCCCCCATTTACATTTAAGGGGTCTTTACATTCATTTACATCTGTGATGGGAAAATAAAGTGTTTTTAAAGAAATACCACCTTCAGATAATTTGTCATGTGGCCAACCCAGAAAAGTCGGTGGGCAAGGAATTTTCATACATACCAAACTGGCACTTGTCTCCTTGCCATCCTGGCTTGCAGATGCACGTGAAAGCAGCTTGGCCATCTTTGCAGTTCAGATACCCATCTTCATTGCATGGCATAGGATCACATTGGTCTGGGATGGCTAAAGGAAACAGACTTCCATTTAACTCTCACCTTAGGCAAGAAAAGGAATCGCAGAAAAGGAAAAATACAACTGCATGCCTATTACCAATAAGGCTAAGATGCATTTTATCAAACAGTAGTCCTGGAGATGTAACTCAGTTGGCATAGTGATTGTCTAGCATTTGTAAAGGCCTGGGTTTGATCCCCAACACTGCATACACCTGATGGCAATTCCAACATAGATTAAGATAGAAGTTTTAAAAGGGACCTTCTTGCCCTAAATAAGTAGAATTTTTGTTACAATCCATCAAATACTGGAAAATGTGGTGCCTAATTGAGAAGAAATGAGCACAACAATCACACACTGGTCACTGTAGGTCCTGTATTGATTCAGAGAAAACAGACTGATACACATATTTTCATGTTTATATTGCTGATGCCCAAATGTTAAATGGAAGAGCATGGTTCTCCTCTGATAAAAAGTAAACTCTAACGTTTGGTCATATTGTGATTGCACAACTCCAACCAAAAGGAAGATGCTACATACAGCATTTCTGACAGCAGTAACTTGAAGCCTGCAATCACTAACCGCCCCTCAGCTGAAATGTTGGGGCGGGGGGATTCATTTCATGTAAAACCAATGCATTTACAACTAAAACATATGCTTGTATATGCAATTCAAAAAACACATCTCTGCTTGGCATAGCTTCCTTCTAGGGTTCACTTACTGAATTTTAAAAATTAGTTAATATTGACACAGTGCATTTCACTTCCCAAGACTTATATTTCGTTTTACTTCGTTTTTACACAATAGCTTACCATTGACACAGCTCCTGAGGTCAGGGTAACCATTAACAGACTGCCGCGCAGCACTGAACACACCAGCACGGAACATGCCCAGACAACCTGTGAGAAAGAAAAGACACAATTGTGTTGCAGCAGCCTTCATCTGAACTCACAGCAGCAATTACCCTAAAGTCTGGATATTTCTGTTCTGATGGCTTCGCTAGAGTTAGTACTCAATATGCTAGTCTAACAGTTTCCATCTCCCCTTTTTCCGTCAAAGTTCAAGAAAAGTCAGGAACGGTGAGGATGCTTAGGAATTCAGCAGAGTGCAGCAGCTCTAAGCCCATGCATTGTTAACAAGATGGCCAAGACAAGCCACACTGTCTTTTCATGGTTGATGGCTCAAAAGCATGCTTTTCTCTTCCCGTGAGAAATTTTGGTCACTACTGAATAGCACATGATGGAGGATGCCCTTTCTGCATATGTCTTTCTCTTATTGGTTGATGAATAAAACACCATTTGACTAATAGAGGCAGGAAGACAGGCGGGACTAGGAGACAAGGAAAATTCTGGGAAAGGTAAACAGAGAGGGACCGCAAAGAGATGCCATGTAGAGACCAGGAAGATAGGACATGCTAGGCATTCTCTAGTAAGATAAGGCCATGTAGAAATACATAGATTAGTAGCTATGGGTTAATAATTAAGACAGAGCTAGCCTATAAGAAGCCCTAGCCATCGTCCAATACTTTTATAATTAATATGTCTTTGTGTGCTTATTTGGGGCTGAATGGCAGCAGGATCAAGCTGGAAAGAAATACCAGCAACAAGCACGTTATATATAAATGGATTGACAGAAGTAAACAGAACACAAACCGTGTTATCAAAGCAACACTGGTGAGATGAGGAACATATTTACATATATTTTTAAAATTATTTAATGTGTGTGCGCAAACACATGCATGCACACTAGAACACATGGAAAACAGAGGATAACTTTTTGGGAGTCAGTTCTCCATTCCTTGCTTTTGAAGATCTGTTATTTCAGTTACTATCCTCACTCCTGAGCTTCTAGCCCATTCCCCTATGTCTGCCTGCCATATACCTGTTGAGTGCTGGACTTGCAGGCATAAGCCAGTACATCTGGCCTTTTAAATCTTTTACATGGACCCTGGACATTGCACTCAGGACATCTTCCATCTACTCAACTCATATGTGGACTTAAAACAAACAAACAAACAAACGAATGTCTGGTTGTCCTCCATTGAAGAACCACAGTTAGGTGACCAGGTGACAACAACAACAGGTATCCAAAATGTTCTATTTATGCTCTCCTCTTGAGGTAAGGGATTACTGCTGTTTAGCCTTAATCAAAAGAAGAGGGACTTTGGAGACTGACTTTTGAAGTTCAGTTTTTTCGTCTTCTTACATGATGGTATTTTTGCGTTGGTACATATTTTTAGGGCTACTCATGAAAACACTTTCATATAATTAGATAATTTAGTTCCAGAATGTTTCTCCAACATCTGAAACTTATTTCTTGTTAGTATTGATATGATCTGATATAGCTAAGAGATGCAAATTCATTCTTTCACTATGTAAACAACCCATCTCAAAATTTATCTCATTTGTATCTTGGTTTACTTCTGCTAAATTTTGTGATACAGGATACTGAACATCTACTACGCCAGCTCTGCTTTCAGGAGAAACTGAAAATAAAGACTACTTGTCATTTTCACCTCTTACTTTCATTTAAAAGATTCTATTTGACATGTTCACCTTTTGGTACTCTGAGATTCAATCTTTACATGGTATAGTTTGTCTTTAAAAGCCCATTGCAGCCAGCTCTATAAGCCACAGCCTTGTTAATACACAGTTGTTAATTTTTGAGAATTTCATACAATATATTTTATTATATTCACCTCGAATTCACCCCAACTCCTTCAAGATTCACCCCATATCTCTGTCTCACCAGCATCATGTCCTCATGTTTTATATTAATTGTAAATGAAAATATAATTACATCATTCCCCCCCTTTCACTTTCCTCCATCCAATCCTCCTACATACCCAATCCTTCACACTTGGTCCCTCCCAAAATTATGGCCTAAAAACATAAATACAACCTACTCAGTCTGTATAATGTTACTTATATGTATAGATTCCAGGGCTGACCACTTGGTACTGGATAACCAATTAGTCATTTCATCCCTGTAGAGGATTATTTCTTACTCGGAGCATTCCTGAGTTGCCTTCAGTTCTCTGTCTATAGGTCCCCATAAGACTGACTTCTTCTATCTTAACGTGTCTACTGATACTGTATTTTTTCAGGTCTTGTTCAGGCAGCCATATTGCTAGAGTATCATGTATAAAATTTCTCTAACTTCAATTAGTTCTGCCCATATATCCCTTGCTATCGGGTCAGACTCACCCTCTCCCAGAAGCCATCAACTTCCCACAGCTCCCAAGCTAGGCATAGAGGCTCACGAACCCTTCCTACTTCATGCTAAGAATGTTGACTGGCTTGGTCTGGTGCAGGCATCTTCAGCTGCTGTGAGAGCATCCATCCTGGCAAGTGTAGATGTCACTGCTTTATTCTAGTACTCCCCTTTGATGTGGGATGCCCTTCTGCATGATGCAAATATGTGTTGCCTTTATTGGTTGATGACTAAAGCTGCTTTGACCTACGGCAGAGCAGAATATAGCTAGGTGGGAAATCCAAGCAGAGATGCAGGGGAAAGAAGGCGGAGTCTAGAAAGATGCCAACAGCCACCATAGAAGCAAGATGTGAAATAACAAGCTACGGGCCTCGTGGTAAAATATAAACTAATGGTAATGGGTTAATTTAAATGTAAGAGCTGGCCAGTAATAAGCCCAAGCCATTGGGCAAACAATTATAATTAATATTAAGCCTCTGCGTAATTATTTTATAAGCAGTTTCAGAACTGGGAGGAACACGAGAAAAGCCTCCAGCTACACTCCTACCTTTGATTCTAACAATCCTCCCACTCCTGCTTTGGGCAGGGACGGTGAACCCCAGAGAAGGGATGTGATTTAAAAAAAAAAATTCCATTTGTGGCTTGGTACTCCACTGATTTTCTACACTTTGACCACTGTGTTTCTGCATCAACCACCATCCATTGCTTAAAGAAACAACTATGGTTGGGCATGAGAGCTACAGGAAACTATGGGGTGAGACATATAAATTTAGAGGGCAGTTTCATACTATGTCCATTTAGCAAAATAATAGTAAGGGCTGTGAGCCCCCCCCAACCATGGGGTCCTCACCAGATGTGCAGCACCAGGCACATGTTTCCTCCTGTGGGGCAAGAACTCTGAGACTTTGAGAAATATTTTCACAAGACACATAGGAAGACCAGAGCATGATTTAACAGTCTTCAACTTGGAAAACTCGAGCATCAATTGTTCATTTATCAAGTTCCTCAGGCACCACAGAGACTGCTGGCTTTTCATGCTTTTCCTATTTGCACTTCCACTGGCGGTTACGAAGTTTCTAGCTTCCATCCTGCAGTTTGTGGCCTGCTTGAGTTTACTTTCTACCCCTCAGACAGCTCTTCTTCTGAAAGAAGCTTTTGATTCTTAACATGTGTTGATTCAGTTTTGCCTACCTGTGCTTAGAATATTGAACTTCTATTTCCTATCTGAAAACTAACCCAGTTCCAAAATACATCCAGATTTCTGTAAGTGGTCTCCTCTGCAATTATTCAGTAGCAATTTCAATGGCTTAGCCTTTCCTTCATGAAGTTTTGACAGCTGCTGAGTGAATGAAATCTTTGACATCACCCGGAATGGCCAGTACTAGCTCTCTGCCTCACTCATGGTAACAGAAGTGAATCTTCAGCCCGGACTGGGTTATTTCTGATGTGGTGCAGGAACTTCTTTTATTGGAAGGTCAGTGAAATTTCTTAGTAGCAGTTTCATTTTCATGTATTGCAGGTTCTTCACTCCAAAGCAATAAGGAGGTCAGAATACGTGGTGTTTATTTTACTCCTGCTGTGCTGTCTTGATAGAATAAATTTACAGGCTGATTCCTAAGTTTGTCACCATTCAACTTCTATTTGTTGTGAGCTTTTCTTTTTCCTGAAGACACCATGTTTTTGTATTATGCAGAATGTCTTGCAATAAAGCAAAAACGTGTATTTTGCTTTGAATAAGAGTGTATAGATGAGCAAACTAGGGGCATGGGGGGGTTGGGAAGGGAGGTAGGAAGGGGAGGGGGGAGAAGGGGAGGTGGGAGGAGAACAAGAGAGATCAGGAGGACTGAGACAGGGGAGGAATAGTGGAGGGCAAGAAAGGAGATGCCATGATAGGCTTGGAGAGAGGTCTGGAACTGGGAAAATTTTTGGGGATCCACAGGGATGACCCCCAACTAAGAATCTAGGCAGTGGTGGAGAGGCTGCCTTTGATGTCTTTTCCCTATAATGAGATTGATGACTACCTTGGTTGTCATTCCTAAAGCCTTCATCAAGGAGCTGACTGAAGCAGAAGAAGGCACTCACAGCTAAACACTGAGTCATACTCCTGGAATCCAGTTGCATAGAGGAAGGAGGGATGAACAAAAAAGCCAAGACTGTGCTGGAGAAACCCGCAGAAACAGTTGACCTGACCTAGTGAGAGCAGGAGACCCTAGTCTTAAAGCTAGGGAACCAGCATTGGACCAAACCAAGTCCTCTGAATGTGGATGCCAGCTACGAGGCCTGTACAGTCTATGGGACCTCTAACAGTAGGGCCAGTGTTAATACATAGTGCACAAATGGAATTTGGGAGCCCATTTCCTATGGAGGGATACTACTGCAGCCCAGATACAAGATAGAGGGCCTAGGCCCTACCCCAAATGATGTGAAAGACTTCGATGGTCCCCTGTGGTGGGCCTCATTATCCTTGGGGAGTAGGGGGGGCATGGAAGGGCAATGGAATGAGGGTATTGATATGTAAAATAAGAATGTGTCTAAATTTTTTTTAAAAAGGAAAAAAAAGAGTGTATAGATGAAACTGTTTCAAGAACACAGAAAAGCCTTTGACAAAATCCAAGATAAAGGTCTTGGAGAGATCTGGGATAACAGGAATATACCTGAACATAATAAAAGCAATATACAGTAAACC